AATTTGAACTTAATAAATTCAATAAAAAATAAATTTAATAAGTTCAACAAATGAGTGAATTAAATAATTTCTGAAAAAAAAATGAATTTAATAAGCTTGAACTTACTAAGAGTCTGTTTGAGACAACTCCAACTTATCAAGAAGCTGTTGAAAAATAATTTGATATTACAAAAAGTTTTGGTGACTATTACAATTTTTTTTTTCTGAAAAGTCAGACCGCAACTAGAAAGCTCTAATCGCACCTAGCCAAGAACGATGAGAAAACATTAGTTTTAGCGACAGCTTTTGAAAAAACTGCAAAAATTAAATTTATCTAAACGATCAAACTAAAGGTGAAATAGAGCGACTTGAAGGGTCTGTTTGTAGCTATTGATTATTTATAATCTACTGATAAGTAGATTATTCTGATAATATGATAATCTAAAGATTATCAAAATAAGCTGGCTTGCTGTTTGAGGCACTGTTTGAGGCAGCTTATTCAGAGGCAGCTTATTCAGAACAACTTACTGGGAGCTGTTGTTGGATAAATGATCATTCTGCCCCTGCTTGGTTAAACTATTTGCAACAGAGCTAAAATGAGAATAGAAGTATATAATACAGAACCCATAAATCATCACAGATCAGTTCAAAAGATAACATACAGTGCTCACACTCTCGTGAGTATCAGAAGAAACAAAAAAATTTGCCAGATCTTGAAAAAAATAACAAAAAGACATGCAGAAGAAAATAAACCTATAGTGTACGAAATAAAGAAGACTTGGTGGATCAGCTGCCATATATAACATCTGTGATTGACTCCCTCAAAGTAGTCATCTCAGCCACACCCTTAACGACATTCAGTTCATCATTACCAGCCATACTAAAGTCCATATCTAAATGTGAAGGATGTCGTCGGAAGAAGCTATGAAATGTCATTGTTGCCACCACAATGTGCACTTGCTTTTGAAATGGATACAACGATATATCACGTAAGATGACTCATTTCTTCATCCAAACTCCAAACGTTCTTTCAATTACCCTGCGTAAAGAGGAGTGACATTTGGTAAACATTTCTTTCCTGCCACAGATGATGTCACTTGATCTCTCAAAATCAGGAATATGATATCTAGTGTCTGGATATGGCTTTAGGTATCCCCTCTGCATAGGATATCCAACATCAACCAAATAGTATTTCCCTGTTATGGAATACACTATTAATAACAAATAATCCTAGTACGTTTACAAATCAAATCATACTTGAAGGCGGGTGAGGAAAACACTGTTATCTATTCCTAGTTTCATAGGAGAAAATCTGGCTGTCATGTGCACTCCCTTCCCAACCCGCCATGACAAAAGTGAAACACATATTGAAGTCACATACTGTCATGACATTTTGAGTAGTTAAACCACTACAATGAATGTCCCCACATTATCCTGACTGGGTAGTCGGGTATCAACGTGAGTACCGTCAATTACACCTATGCACTTATGTATTACAAAATTAGAAAAAAGAAGTATTTTAGAAGTAACGTAAAGAAATCAATAGTTACCTTGAAATAAGGCATGTAACGGAGATCATTGGCAATTTCCCCTAGAGTACTAGCAAATGATGGATCCTCTAGTTTAACGATTTGAGTTGTCAAGCTAACAAGTGCCTGTATGCCTTTGGAGAAGTAACAACTTATTGTTTCCGATGAATGTTGAAATCTCTCCATAGCATCTCTAATAGATTCATTCTGTGACAAGATGTATATTTTTATAGCCAACACATCCCTTCTCGTTGTTCTAGAAGAACCTTAGAGGTCGTGATTTAGTGATAACTCATTCAGGAGATCCATAAAATTAGGTACACTCATCCAAAATATGTTGTTGAACCTTATTGGATGTCCAAAAAGCATTTCACCAACCCATTTATCCCCAATAAAACTGGACATCATACGGGGTATACAAACACTACTGGATCGGTAATACTCCAATAACAATATTGCAATAGCTACAGCCATGTCATTCTTTTACGGTGTTCCTGCTGCAGATCCATCCTAAATTAAAAAGATATCAGTTATTTTAACAATTGTTAATACATAGTAGGATCGAGAAATAAGCAAGGAAAACATGAAGCACTTAAAATGAAAATGTACACTAAAAAAAGATATTAAAAAGATATATACAAAGAGCAAAATATTAAAGAGCGACATGAAGTGCACTAAAAAAGATCCATAAAAAGAGCAACATATTAAAGAAAATTCATTCTTCAACCAAAACACACAAATATTCGACGCACAATTCTGGGTGCAACACCATGAATATTTGCCTACGGGTTGGATCCTTGAGTTTCTTGATACACTTTGCATGAAAACGTCTATCTACAACTACTTCAGGTAGAGAAGCTAAAGTTCCTAGACATTCAAAGATGGTGCTGTCAGGGACTGGAGCAGGTGGTGGAGTACCAAAAGCTTCTATGAGTCTATCAAATGAGGTTTTCACAAAGGTATCCTTTTATTTATTTTTCCTACCAAGTTCGGGCCTCTTTGAAGGTGAACTAGACTCCCCCATCTCCCTCTAGTTACTACGTATTTCTTCATCAGCTGTCAACTGCTCAGATGGGCATCTTGTATTCCTGTCGCGACAACCCCTTGAAATATTATGTTGAGTTTTTGTTCAAAGTCCGGGTCAATTCCACACTGCTTATATTTCTTTGCTGACGACATTGCCTGTGATATTGAAATAGAGGAGGGGGTTAAGTGGGTTTATTAGAGAAAAAATAAGTTATGTAAATCAAAATAAAAGTATAAAAGTGGGTTTATTACCTCCAATTTCTCAGCCCACCATTCCTCCGAGGCATCGATTGTCCACTTAATGGGATCCCAACCCAAACGAGTACATCCACACTTAAGCTCTTCCAACTTTTTCATTTCTTATTCAATTGGTCTCATTTGTTTTTGAATTTTAACATGTCGTAATCCCTGCCAATCAATTCCTTAAACCTCTTCGCAATATTTTACCAATCTTTCTTATTAAAATACGTGGTTGGTCTATTTCTCAGTTCTATTTCTTTAATACATAGATCGCAAAAAATATTTGTTACTTCTTTATCCCACATAGTAGACTGACCCCTTCATTCGCCTTAGACATGTTGGCAAAATACACAACTTAAATTTTGCAAGTTAACAAAAAATTTATAAGTACCAAGTAAATATTGTAAGTCAACACAAAATTTATAAACATGATGCAAATTTCTCAGCATACAAAAAATTTATAAACATGATGAAAAAAAAATTGCATATTAGTATAACACTCTCTTTCGTATGTTTTTTTGGCAAATTAGAAATTATTATTTGTCAATTTTTTTAAAAAATAAAATAACTCTAACACATTATCAAATGAGGCAATAATATTAGAATTTATTTCCCTTTGAACTACATCCATATAAAATCTAGAGAATTGCATTTTCTATAAATTTTTGCATTGAATTATATAAAGGCATTATCAAAAACTTTTACACTTGGCTCCTTTTCAAAGGCAAGGGCAAACTAATAGACATAAGAAGGGGGAGAGAGAGAGATTATCAAATTTTACTGAATTTTTTTTAATCATCTTTAAAAAAAGTCATAATTTTTTACAGACATAGGGATTACTATACTTTCCTATTACTACATTAAGATATAAATATATATAATATTTAGAACATGTCAAAACTAAATGGACATTTTTCTATAACTTATTATAGAAGAGAATTCTGATGACCATATTTGTTCTGCTTCATTTCACATGGGACAAAAGTAACTCTTATTTGAAGAACTAGAAAATGAACATAGTGATATGAAGTAACTCTTCTTTGCTGAACCTTTGCTTTTTGTCTTGAATTAGTGGAATGTTTATACCCAACTTTAAAAGTATCATTGCTCATCATTGGTTTGGAATATCTATTTGCATAAGTAAAAACTTTTTTGGTAAGAACAATTTTGTGCTCCCGCTTTGCGGGCTTATTACAAAAAGATATATCAAATAATGTTGCATCAAAGTATAAAAACTCCCTTGATGATGACAGTAACAAAAATAATTTTATCACAATCTTTTAGAAGAGCACAAATGACTTGGAACTACACATCCAAAATAAAGATGCAAAAAAATCGGAGTAACCCGCAAGCCACAGATCTAAGCTAGGATATACCCAAAAACCATTCATTCATGTATCACACCAAAAGTTAAAAAAAAATATATATATATATTCTCCACCTCCCAAAAAAACCAACAAAAAATGCATATAAAAAATATATATATATATATTGCTTGCATCTCCACCTCCCAAAAAAACCAACAAAAAATGCATACCTTATGAATTAGAAAGGAAAATTGAAATGCTAGGGCTCGTGGGAAGGAAGGAGAGGGATATCGGGTATACCTTGAGCCGATCTCAGCGAAGAAGAGAAGGATCAGCGAGGCGAGGGAGATCTGCCAGGCGAGGCGAGGGAGATCTACGATTCTCCTAAAAAGGCCGATTCTCCAAGGGTGAGGGTGTGGGAGCGAGGCGAGGCGAAGGAGCATAGGAGATTTGCAATTCTCCAAGGGCGAGGGCAAGGGAGCGAGGCGAGGCAAAGGACCAGAGGAGATCTGCGATTCTCCAGAGGCGAGGGCGAGTGAGATATGCGAAGATGCAACACAGTGATCACAAAATTCATACGAGGGATGCGGGGGAGTCCTGCTTGCGAAACCATGAAGAAAAATGCAATAATAAAATGTCGCGACACTAAAAATTTAGACCGATGGCGATATTCAAATGGAAAGATAAAGTTTTCACAATATCGCCGCATCTTATAAGCTGACCCAAACTGGCACGAAGTGAAAGAGAGGAGCCCACTGGTGGAATCTATTTATGGAATTGATAAAGCCCACCCAGCATCGAGCCGCCTAGTCTGCCCAAGTCATCATGTTCTCTCCTGTGCTTTACTCGCAATTCCAGACCTAGCCCTGGAGCTGTCAACTTTCGTCTACCGTGGGTCAGTCGGTGGCTCGCCTCTTTTTTTTTTTTCCGAAAATTTCTCGCGTCATCTCTTTTGCTGTACTCGCAACTCCAACACTAGCCCTGGAGCTGTCAACTTCCGTCTACTGTGGGGTCTGTCGGTGGCTCGCCTCTTTTTTGTTTTCTGAAAATTTCTCGCGTCATTTAAATAGCAGGCAAGGACATTTTCTCCTTCGGAGGTCTTTTTAATGCACGTCGCTCCACTCCCCAACTCGTCCGCTATCACTCCAACTATCACCAGGTCTGGTGATTGCCTTTCTCGTTTGATTCGATCTTTGTTGCTTCCCTTGGTTTATTTTGGTTTTCTTGTTGATTTCAGTTCCTTTGGGTAGTATCTTAACGTTCAGTATCGCTGAAGGCAAAGCTTGAAGAGTTTCCACGGTCTTCTTAAAATGCGACCAACGACGGAGGGTATGGATGACTGTTTAATGTTTTGGCTTTAAACTTGATGGAAGGTTCAATTCTATGTTAAACTTTTGCCTTATTTTTCTAGCCCCCCGGCCTCCTCGTGTGATGCTGATGAAAGACAACAAGCCTATTTGCCGCACCAGATGCTCCAATGATCTTTCATTAGAAATGTATGGTTGTCCTCAATCTTCTCTATTAGTTGTTAGAGAAAGATATATATATATGTTTTCACTCACGCTGGAAGAACAGAGAAATCACAAACGAGAATCGTTGTTAAATTGTGATCTCAAGAAGCTTTCATTGAGAAAATTACAAATACAAATTTCTTTAATCTTTACACAAGAATAGGGGTGTAAATGGCTGAGCTTGAGTGAGCCCGAAGTTTCTTTGTGTTTGGCTCATTCAATTTTTATCTTGTTAGTGTTCGGCTCATGTGGCAGACAACATTAGAGAAAGTCTTAGATGGTTCGGTCACATTAAACGCTAATCATGTGATGATAGAGTTGATGTTTTAGATTCGACTTATATTAAGAAAAATAGAGGTAGACCTAAAAAAAGCTTGGCCATGTTGTATAAAAAATAATATTAATTTGCTAGAATTAAATAAAAATATGACACTTAGTAAGAGGATACAATGGAGATAAAGGATTCATGTAGCCGACGCCACTTAGTAGAATCAAGACTTGTTGTTGTTGTTGTTCGACTCGTGTTCAAAATAACTCATGAATAGTCTGTTTGTGTTTGACTCGATACAAACATATTTGTTCAAATTAAACTCGTGTTTAGCTCTAACTTCAGTTCGAATTAAAATTTCATATATTAATTTTTATTTTAAAACATAAGGAACGAAAAATACCTACCTAGCATCTAATTTTTCTTTTTCTTACATTGAAGGGACATTTACATACATAACACCCAATTCTTATGTAATTACATATATAACATCCAATTTTTTATAAAAATTAAAGGGACATTTACATACATACCACTCACTTCTTTTGTACTTACACAACTAACATCTAATTTTTTTTTAAATTTATATAATTCAAATCTTGAAATATCATATCAAAGGTATCATTGTTTTAACTTTTATATTATTTATTTATTATTTAATTAATTCGAACCAAAACGAGCCGAACACAATTCTTGTTGGGCTCATTTATAAATCAAGCCAAAAAAAAAAATATACTTTTTTGGTTCATTAGCTTAACGAACTTATCGAATACGAGCTACTTATCGAGCCGATTACAAGCTGCTTGCGAACGATGAGTCTTGCTAAGAAGCACCTGTGATAAAAAAAAGAACTGCTGCTGCTAACGAAAACTGTTGTCATTTTTTACACTGCAGAAAACTAATCATCCCAACCATTTATAGTGCATTGCTAGGATGTTACTTACAAGTCATAAACTTAATAACAGTAAGTAACCAAAGCTGAGAGGGTTTGGCTGAACAGTTTTGTTAATCTCGAAACAAACAAACACTTCACCTTGCTTCAAAATTAACATTGAACTACAAATCTTCATCCTGAAGCACTTTCTCCATGTTTTCAAATCCGATCAAGTTTAGAGAAGGTGTAAATTTATTGCTAAAAACATTATTACTTATCATAGTAGCTGCTTTTTCTTCTGTTCCAGTAATGTCAAAATTTAATACTTCTGTCAAAACCGCATCTCTGATAAAATGTAAGATCACATCAACATTTTTAGATTTATTACAAGAGTGTTACCTCTTAATATATATCACAATGACTGTCATTACACATCACAACGTTTTTCTACAAAGCTTCCCTATCGGCTTTTGTAATGCGTATATATTCTGCTTCGGTGGTTGATAAGGTTAGAAAAAATTGCAAACTAGCTTTCCAGCTACCATAACCGCCATGCAATATAAAACAAAACTAGTTGGAGTTTTTTGAGTATATAAAAAAATTTAAATCTGCTCGACCCTTCATTACTTCTTTCCGGCCTTAAGTATTTCCAAAACATAGGCCAACATGAATAGTTCCTTTGATGTATTTTGTCAACCCATTTAAGAATTTACTAATGTTCTTTCCTAGGGTTCATCTTGAACCTGCGAATCATACTCGTCTTAAATCCGCGAACCATACTGACTATATAAGCTAACTTAGGCCAAGTTCATAAAATCAAAATCAAGCTTTTGCTTTTTCTTTTTCGAACTTTTTTAATAACTATTTGGTTTTAACCATACTTGTCGTCGGATTATGATTGGTCAAAACTCCCTTCTCTCTAATACTGATTTTCGTGCTTTCAATTTTTTCTTACTTTGTACCATATTAGATTTGTTTTTGATGTCTTTTTATTAATGAATTGGTGGCCTTAGTTGTGTTTTGTAATATTTTATTTTAAATTACAGCCCTTCCACCTGGACAATTGTCAAATTTAAACCTCGTTCTGTTTTCCAATGGAATATTTTGGCCCAATTTCAATTGTTTCCAGATCCTCAAAACTGTCATCAAATGAGAGAGTGGGCACAGTTTCTGTCTTATCTACAGCAGTCTGGGATGGTGAATTTTTTACTTTATTGTTAATTCATTATAAAGCAATGTTTTTGTACCTTCCAATGTACCTAATTCTGATTATTGAGATTATTAGCTTCATCAAGTTTTGAAGATTAGTTGTGCTTTGCAGGTTGCTGTTGTGTATGCTGATTATTTCAGCTTTTACATACTTGCGCTTAATGGAGATCAGGAATATACTTACTGTATAGTTCATCTATGGATAAGAAATCCTGCTTTGGCATCTGATTATGAAAGAAATGGTGGATGGGGTGAATGATTCTAGTTTATTTACTCTATTTTGTTTTTTAAATTGAAAGATTTTTTTTTTCAACCATTTTTTATTCAACTTTACAAACAATATTAAGCTGAATGGCTTAAAATTTTCCTCAAATTATTCAAAGCATGTTTGGTTGACTGACATTGCATTGTTAACTCTTATTATTTAGACATGCCAACCGTTTGGTTTTACCAACATATCTAACTAACTGCTATATAAATGATTGTTATGCCCTAATTCATTGACGTCTAGATGTGTGTTAGAAATGGCTGTCATCTTGCAATGTTTGGACTTCTCAGTATTTGCTTATTAAAATATTGAAAATGCTAACATATTTAAATCATTAACATTAAAATAGAGATAATATTTAGTAGATAGCTAACATTCATCTATTAATAGTAACATATTATTAACACCAACATCTAAATAATATTGATTTCTAGCTTTAAAATAGCAACAAATATGTTGGATCTTATTTTGTTCGTGTGTTATAATAGAACCTTACTTACTCAGGGGAAAAGAGAAACTGGTAGAGAAAAGTATGTCAAAAAAACTTAAGAGGGGAAAATCCACTATAATGCTCAAGTGTGAACCATACAGAACAAATGCTGAACTCTTGGTTCTTCCCAATTTTCTCTATTTATAGGTTAAGATCTGGGATCTAAAGCAATATAGAAATTATCACTGAATAAGATATACATGTAAGAAAATATAAAGTATAGGACTTGTGCTGTCTAAGTAGATACTCAGACTCGGACTTGCAATCATTTGTCTTTGCTTGTTAAGTTTCTTAATCATAATCGTTGAGCAGCTCTTTGGACTTTGGTGATGTTGACCTCATTTTTAGTGAGGTCTAGTCTTCCTCTTAGGATTTAGGATCTAGCCTTAGGGTTCTCGCTTTGACTATCTTAGAACCTTAGAAATGAGACCCGCCTCGTTTTAGAAATTCAACCCACTTCTGTACCCTTTTGGAGTTTCGCGTCTGTGGTATCGACTTCTAGCACTTAGAAGGGTGAAACCAACATGAGAAAACCCAAAAGGAATTCCTATAGGATCTTTTGAGCCTTAATGTGGCCTTCTGCACAATTCGCACTCCCGCGTGCACGAATCTTGCAATTCGGAGAATCGACACGCCCAATCGCCACAATTCACATCGCTTGCACTGTTACTTGTCGAAGACTCGAGTAAACCTTTTGAAATGATCGATCACGGGTCGAAATTTTGTGAAATTTGAATTTTGACGTGTTTTTGGCCCGATTGTCGACGACGTCGTCCGAGCGACCCCGGATAACAAAACGGACTGCGTCAGCGAGACCGGAATGTCGATTTTGACTAGGGAGGACACTCATTTTGTTACGACGCCGCGCGTGAGTAAATCGCATATGAATTAGTGTATATATATATATATATTAATTTATATAAACCAAATCTTTCCTTTCCTCTTTAAGCCCTAAATCCCTAAACTCACACCCGAGCTCTGCCTCCCTTCCCTCTCCCGTTCGCGTGCCTGACCTTTCCCTTTATCGGTCTCGAGCCAACCGAGCTCGTCCTACTCCACGCGAGAGAGAGTTGACTTCTCATTTGTCCTTGCCCGACACTTTCTGCCCGCGGCTCTTCTTCCCGAAGCCCTCTCCTTCCCGAAGCCGTGCCAATCTCCCCGGGCTGTGGTTTTTTCCTTTTCTTGATAGTTTGACTCTGGGAAGTTTGCTTTTTGGTACACTTGAATGACAAACTCTCTCTTCTTCCCGATACTTTCCTCGCTGCCACTAGGCTCGCCGCTTGGTCCTAGATGTTTCGGTTGCTTCGCCTTCTGTGAGCAGGGAATGCGTCTTTTTCTTCTTTGGCCCGATTCGAGTACCGTGGTGGATGGGGTGATCTTCTTTCTCTTCCCCTCCCTTCTCTGGATATAAACATAGTTTCTTTTAGGGTTTTGGGGTTTGTTGAAAAAGTTTGCAAAAAAAAAAAAAGAAGAGAGGAGTAGAGATTTTGGCTGTGAGAGGAGTTCAAGGAGGAGATTTCTGTGAGGGCATCTCCTTGAGGTGGCTTCTTGTGTTGAAGTGCTTTACATTTGCATTAAGAAGGTACTCTTCCAGTACAACATGCTAGTTTAATCCACTTTCATGTATTTTGAGATGTTTACCTTAAGAGCATGTTTCAGGGGTTCGATTTGGTTACTTGCTTAGAACC